AATAATGAAGAAAACTAAAGCTAATGTAGACCTATCCATGTTATTTAAAAAGAGTGTTTAAGGTGCCTGCCTAGATGAGCATGTTATACTCTGTGAAGCAACATGGTTACCTAAAACGACAGCCAACATGGAAATAGGCAATTGTTAAAACAAGAGTAACATGCAAACTATGTTGTAACAGTTAATTTGAAGTGAGTATTACCATTAAATTCATCTGCTTTGGTGACCATACCATTGAATAGAATCACGTAATATAGACATGTTCCTAGAGCTTATTATTATTTCTCAATGAATGGAAACCCTCTAATTATCTTTTAATCTTTTTGCATGATAAAGTTAACGTCATTAGCAGAAAAATAGAGATTAAATTATACGAATTGAATTCAGTCAATATATAAGAACTTATGCATTCCTTTGCAATGATTAAATCACATATAGGCAGCAAAGTTATCACGGCAATAATCATACCGTCAATTTCGACAGTTAAGCAAATCAAACAACAATAATCTACAAACAAAGCAATCTCTTTAACCAAACATCAGACAAATAGGAAACTAATTTAAAACCTATACTCAACAGATTAGCAAAATACCATTCAAATCCAAAAATGATTTCAAGAAAATTTAAGAAATCGAAACAGAACAAAACCCTAATTGCTTCGAATTTATTCAGTAAATTAAAACAAAGATCTAATGAACAAAACCCTAATTGATAAAACAGCGAGATGAGAGTGAGAACAAGATTTCACTTACCATGTTTACGTTTTAGGAGAAGAATTGAAACCCACAAACTCGACGAGACGATTATCGAAATTCGATCCTTTGATCTTTAAAGATTTGATTGAAAATCCAAAGTGATTGGGGATTTGATTTCTAGCCGTTGATCACCCATTAATCTGTTTGGCACTTTGGCTGTCGGTTGTATCCGATATATCCGATATAATACGAAGTTACGAACTGTTCCTGTCTCGAGTAGACGTAGTAGTAGTAGTAAAGACTAGTAACTATTTACGCTACGTCGTTGTTTTATTATTTGGGCTTGGGCTTTATTGTATGGATTGGATCCTAGTAATCATTGCTAGTAAATATTGGCTAGTAAGGTGGCTAGTAATTAGCTCCTATACATATACATAGGAGGTGATGGAGATTGGAGAGTGCACCTTGGTGAGTTAATATGTATTTTTTGTTTTATTTTGGACTAGAAACCGAAAGCTATCTAAATTTACACTATATAAAAGAAAGAAAGATAGAGAGATTCATTATCAAATTTATTATAGAAATGATATGAAAAAAGTTTCAAAAGGGTAATAATTAAGAATATCAAATCTAAATCTAATGAAGGTTTGACAATTGATTATAGAGTATAGTATAGATAGATGAGTGACCCCATTTGTTCCTTGAAATTCAAGGAAGTTTCATTGAATTATGGGTCGACCGTACCATTACCATATATTGAACTCAATATATACACAGTAAGTAGTAGATAGTTTCCTTAAAAACTTGAGACATATGAAAAGCAAACAAAACCCCATTTCA